CTCGAAACCGTGACCCGTGGAAGGATAGTATCTGTGATTGGGATGAATGAGACACACTGTAAAATCTAGACACTTATATTCCCTCCAACACTACAGACACAATCCAATAATGGTACACCAACATATGCGCACCTCTTAACCTGACCTTAAAACACTACTCTGGGGAATAAAAGTTATACATGATATTGAAATTATTAGAAACTCAGACAATGCCTCATTAGAAAACAATAAATTTAAAGTATTAAGAAGTGTTGCTTCCACACATGAAACAGGCCTTAAGGGTTTTCACAAAATAATGTCCACCACTGCAGAAGTGGTATAAAAATAAGAAATTATTAATTCCACCATGAATAGGCCTAAAGGGCACTCATTAGAATTATGTTACACCAACAGATGCAGGCCTTAAGGGTTTTCAACAAAATAATATCAATCACTGAGAAAACGGTATTAAAAAAATAAGAAATTAATAACTCTACAATGAATAGGCCTTAAGGGCACTCAACAAAATTATATCAAGCACTGAGAAAATGGTATAAAAAAAATAAGAACTTATTAACTCCACCCTGAATAGGCCTTCAGGGCATTGAACAAAATTATATTACCCTAACAGATGCACACCTCCTAACCTAACATAGACACTACTCTGGGGAACAAAGGTTATACCTGAGATTGAAATTACTGTATAAAGAAATATTAAATGCATTAAAGGAACTAAATCACAGTATCACTTACAACAGAGGAGGAACCTCATCTGAAAAACAGTTCCCTCATTCTCTGGCATCAATTAGTGACACAACATTAAAAAACAATACTATCAAAATTATTTAAGAGATATTAACTGCACACAGCATACATCAGTAACTGAAAAAAATACTATTACTACCCAAAAAAATATTATCACTTATTAAGAAGTTACTGAGTCCACCAATACCCGTGAACCATGCTTCCTAACCAACACATAGATTCCACCTGCACTCCGTAGTTTTTTAAGGCACAACCAACAGGCACCCGTAGTTTAAGGCCCAAACCAGCCTTTCTCCACCTTGGAAAAAGTACCTCTAAGTTCCACTACTCCTGGGGCCAGTGTGTGGCCCTGTATTCATTCAGCTTGCTTCACTTTACCCCAGTACATCCATGAAACGGAAGGGAGTGAGCCAATCAGACCTTGTACAGTTGAGAGAAGTTTTAGCTTCCCTTTAGTGAAAGGTTTTCACTAAGCTGCTTGAAGATATGTGGTATTGTGAGCCGAGGTAGAGGAGAGCTGATGACCCCAAACGATCGTCACATCGTTAGTTGGGCACCCAGACAGCTGGTTTCACTCCAACTCTCACCATACTCAACAGGTGGCTCAAACCCAGGTCAGTGGACGGTCATACAGCTCGCTTCACCACTCGTCTCATACGGCCAGTGACCGATATCATACCGCGTGGGCTCTACAGAACCCTGAAAAAACCCGAGCTGTTAGCTATTGTCTCACATCACCATTTGTTCCTACCGCCCTATCTAGCTTTGTCTGGGATTGAATAAATCTTACTTGTTAATACTGATGTTAAATAAACGAAGGAACCAGTTCACGTGGTCCGTCTCTCCTGGGTACAGAACAGAGATGGTCCTCTGGCTTGACCTCTCTCATAACTCCCCAAGCCACGCTTGCTCACTGGTTCACGCTTTTCAGGAGTGACTTATTTACCAGACGATTAACAGCTTAATTAGGACGTACGCAACATTTTCAGACTGGGAAACGATCTAGGATTACTTTTAATTTAATAACTGATATTTAATTTCATAATTCACCTCCATATTAATTCGGTAAATTACATTTAATATCGTATAGGCCTAGTTCCAGAAACTCTCGCTACGTGCGGGAGCGCGGCCTTCCCTCAGACGACCTTGAACTCGGTATTGCCAATGGCGCGGCGTTTGAAATTACACTGAAATTTCTGAATATTACAATCGACCCCCCTAAAAAAAGACAGCACTGTCCTCATGTGCTGAGAAAAACATGCATATGACCCCCCTAAAAAAATTTGTTCTAAGAAACTGCACCCCACACCTGCAACGTGCTAACCACAGTATTTCCATCTTCTCTTCTCTCTCCCGCTAACACTCGACCCCCCTAAAAAAAAAGACAGCACTGTCCTCATGTGCTGAGAAAAAGTATGCAACGACCCCCCCCCAGAAAAGACTTGTTCTAAATACTGCATCTCACCCCTGTAGGTACCCCTGTACAATGACAGCAGAAGCATCTGGCAAGTGTGACAAGTATATACAGTATAAATATTATAAAGGGGCTTACTAAAGCCTAAGGAAGGAAGGATATTCCTTTAACACATAATCAATATTATTTACAAAATATCTGGCCAGTATGGGGAGGATCATCGTGTCTCCGTCAGGGGGTCGTGGAATGGTGGTCCAGCAGGCGTTGTGTGGGGACATCTTAGGAGGTAGTGAATAAGGGTGCTGCTGTCGGGTCTTCTGCATAATGCACAAGAGCGTTGCTCAGGGGATGCGGGCGGGGATACCAATCTCCCAAGCAAAGTCATACCCAATGATGATACGGGCAGCAATCACGTCCCCTTTCCGCAACCCTTTCCCGTAGACGTACGAGAGGTCAGGAAGTTTACGGAGGACATCGTACTAGGTGGGCGGGGAGTCCAGGGGGATGGCTGCTTCCCGAGCTTCTCTCTGTTTGCGGCGAATTTGGGTCCTAATCTGTAAGTGTTCGAGGAACAACGTAGTCAGGTGTGGCCTTGTTGCAGCCAGTCTTGGCAAGGTCATCTGCTGCCTCATTCCCCAAGATACTGACATGACTAGGTATCCATAGGAATGTCACAGGACGGCCTGCATCCTGAAGTGTGGATGTTAACCCTCGTATTTGGAGGATATACAGTGACCCCTCGTTTAACGAACGCCTCAGTTAACGAAATTTCGGTTAACGAACTGCCTTCCATAAGGATCTCCAATTCGGTTAACGAATTTCTTACGAACCGACCTCAACATGTTTTCGCTTGCACTGACCGGGCAACCAGCTTTAGTATCAGTCCGCCAATACATTAATCAGTTCTAGGGCTTAAATTCCTTACTATTTTAGTAAATATCAAGAAGTTTATACTATTCAATAATTTTAAAAGTTTAATATTAAATTTTTTAGTCATTTTAACAATTATTGAACATAATTGAAGGTAAAGTGACTAGTTTAATGCGCGGCATCCAGCCTCTTAACACAGCAAACAGGCGTTAGTCTCTCTCTGTTTTCACTGGAGGTAACATCTTGCTTGAGACTCTCTTCAACTAAACGCTTTTTTTCTGTGTTTCCAAGCAAATTATTGGTCATTTTGAAATATATTTTACATATTGACAATATATAATGCAGTGCAGTGTTGATTTAAAGAAAATAATCTTGAAATACACCAAGAGAACTAAAATTTTATGGGTGAAATGGTGCCATGGGGTGACTTCTCTTCCACCCCAATGCTTTCTCTTCTTCCTTCTCCTCCACCCCCATTCTAATTCCCATCATCATCATCATCATCATCATCATCATCATCATCATCATCCAGGAGCCTTCTACATACACACCTCAAAGTAAGTGAACTTTTCTACCATTTTTGTTGAATTTAGGAAATTTTCGGTGAGCTACAACCAATTACCCAAAAACCCATTGAAACAATGGTTTCGGTTAACGAACGCCCTTCTGGAACGGATTGAGTTCGTTAACCGAGGGGTCACTGTATACAGTACATGCTGTTTTTACTATTAACAGCAGCTTTTGGTGGAGATTGCTATCACTGTTACAATACACTTGGTCATGGGTGTTACAGAAGATCTTACAATACATTACTGTATGTTTGAAATAAAGGTAAAGGGGGTTAAAATTTGTTTGGGGGTAGGACAGACAATTATTATGGCTGAATAGATGAAAATATAGACTTTTTTTTTTTTAATATTTTGTTTACAGACACTAGAAGGAAGAATTTGATGTATATATTACAGTCAACCCTCACTTTACGCGGTCCCACATTCCGCTTTTCCACGTTCAAGCGGTGCCCTGCCGGAACCTAACATACTCACGTTCCGCGGTGCGTGTACCCCATTCCGCGGAGAGCGGCTGGCGAGCCGCGCCATTTTTGGATCCAAACCTCCCGCCATCCGCCATGTTGTGTAAGCGGCGCGAACATGGTGCGCACAAGGTCGCCCAGTCATCAAAACATTACCAGTTCTTCACCCACCACAGCCGGCCCAAGTCAGTGATAGTGATAATTATAGTGAGGATATGGACTTATATGAACTTTGGGGGGTTTGACAAAGAGGCCCTGCAAGCCTCTGTGGTGGATAGTGATACAATTGATACACGTGATACAGGTGAGGGCCAATAATCTGCCCTCTGCCTCGGAACCAACCGTCCATCCCCGTGTGCCCAGCCATCTTTTCTACTAATGTAAGTGTTAAAAAACCTAATATTATTGATATTTCTCTTAATTATTAATTGTGTGTGCATGCCATCATAAAGTTAAGATAATATTTTTACTACAACATAGTTGTGTGTCATCAAAAAGTGGAGTTTGGGGGTCGGCCCGGACTCTGTTTCAATTAATCCCATATGTTATGTTATTCACTTTACGCGTTCCTCACTTTCCGCGGCACCCTGTGGGTTACATTAACCGCGTAAAGTGAGGGTTGACTGTACTGAGTTGTCACAAGTGGGAGAAAATTAGGAACCATTAGGAATACAGTTGAAGGTAAAATGAAATTGACTGACACATGTGGAAGGACTGTGCACTCAGGATGCTCATGTTCATATTACTGTAAAACATGTCTGTCTCTGTTAAAGTAATAGTCTTACTAGCAGTTGCCCTGGACATAATTTAAGCGTTTGACTATACTCTATTGAAATACATATTTGTAAGTTAGGAAGGGGTGTAGTATTTTGATGACAGCATTTATCAACTGCAAAGGATGTTAGCTACATGCATTTTGACTAATGAGAATTGGTGTTTCAGCTGGTGTTGGGTGACGTGCTGGGATTGGGGCTGCAGGTGCTGGATTTCACCATGAGCTATATGCCCACCTCTGTTCCATACGTGCCCTTCCCTGCACCATCACCAACACAACAACCATCCACGTAGGTATTGTGCCAGTCAGTGAGTCTTGTCTCATCGATATGTTCAAACAAATTGATATCCAGTCATATACAGTATATCTTTGAAGACTTTAAGATTATATATACACCCAGTACAGTACACTACAGTGGAGTCTATATAATTTGCAGGTTAAGTACTGTTTCATAAGACATTGTGAATTAGCAAAACGTGAATTAAAGTTTAATTGATTTAAATGGAAATAATTATTTAAGTTCCAGAGACCCAAAAAATACACAAAATGATTTAATAAACTCTATATCATACATAATGCTGTTCAAAAAAAATATAGTAATACAGATATTGTACCAAATATAAGTCTATACAGTATAGTACTCCCTTAAAGTTTGTGGTTTTAAAGCTTGCGTCATGGAAAATAAATAAAATAAATCCGAGGCTGTGGGGCGGTGCATAAGTCGAGCACCAGCTGTTGGAGTGAGCTTGGGGCTGCGAGGTGGTGCACGTGCTTCCCCGCGCATATCGTTGTTTACAGTCTGCTGTCCTCCCAGTGTTGTTCATCGGCTGGCTTCTTTGCAGTTTTTTCCTAATTACTTCCTGCTGAAATGGAGGGGGGGGTGCATCTTATATGCTGTAAAATATGGTATTTAATATATGATTGGGCAATTTGGCCTCCCAAATGCCCTGCCAGTGGTTCTAGCAATGCATAATGCTGTTATACATGTGCTTATAGCTATTTATATGAAATTTACACACTCCTGGGCTGGCATGAAAAATTGTGGATTCTGCTTTCTCGCGGGATTCACTTTACCTAACCCCAGCGAGCTTTAAGGGAATACTGTACTACTGTATTACATAAATAGCTCCTTCCTTTCTCATAATCATCCTTTGGGTGACATCAACATGGAGTCAGGCTGGTCAGCTGTTCATCTTTGATGTAAGCAAACCACCAACAATTTAATACGACAATAACTCATCTGGGGGTAAGTGTGGATTTTTTTTTTTTTTTTTAAATTTCTAATTTTACGATAATTTTAATTAATCTGGCACCAAATGAACGTACCTAAATAATAAGGAAATTATGGTGAAATTGCATACTGTACCGTTGTTATAAAGAGATTGCGGCATGGGGAATTTCCATTGAGTCCAGCCAATCAGCCGCCCTTCCTCCTACCTCCGTCATACAGAAATCATTCCCATTCCCACTCTTAATTTTTTCTTAATTTATACAGTATAATCTGGATTTACGCGGTCAATTGAACCCGTGGAGGTCTGCGTAAAATGAGAAACGCGTAAACGAAATAACAAAACATGGGATTACTGTAATTGAAATAGAGACTGGGCCGACTCCCAAACTCCACTTTCCTCGACACAATACGTACCTTGTAGTAAAAATAACATCATAATTTTATGATGGTATTGACACACACATAATATCTAAATAAAAAACTACAAATCTAAAGGTATTTAACACTTACGTTAGTAGAAGAGATGGGTCGGCACATGTGGGTGGCGGCTGGTTCCGAGGCAGAGGGCAGATTAGTGGCCTTCCGGTGAATCACTATCACTACTCACAGAGGTTTGCAGGGCCTCCCTGACAAACCCCTCAAAATCCATATCCTCACTGTCACTATCACTGACTTGGGCTGGCTGTGGTTGTGGTTGGTTGCGGGCGAGACTAGCATTGATGTTGTCGTGATACATCTGGACATACTGCTCCATAATTTTCGACAGAAGGTTATTAGACACTTTATACCGATGCTTGACTGTGTCTTTGTCAAGGATGAGCTTAATTTTCTCCCCCAACTCAATGATTTCCTTCACATAACCATGGCTTAGTCCAGGTAATTCAAGGTTTTTCTGGGGTGGTGGGGGTCCAGCGGAAGCCATTGTGAGGAGACCAGCGGGCACAAGAGAGAACTGTATATGCGGAGACTGAGAACAATGAGACTGGCCCGGCTAGATAAGCGAATTCTTCCCTCTGGTGGCAGGGCACGTCATGTTACATTAGATTAGACCAATCACAGCTAGCGGCGGAGGGAATGCTTAGGTGGTAAGGATGCATGACCCAATCACAGTCCGATACATCATATGACGTCAGCGATAACGTAAGAGCGACCTAATGCGCACCCTGCCTGCGCGGCTTCCCGTGTAAATGATGGAATGAACCGGTTAACTTTAAATTTTCATTCTGGCAAGGTGCCGCTTAAATGACCAAACGCGTAAACAAAATCCGCGTAAATGCAGGCTATACTGTAGTTTCATTAAATATTTTATTTATTTTTAAGTAATGTTAGAGCATGGAAATGATATATCTACAACTCTTATGGTTTTCTCTTAGCCTTGGTTGGCCTGTTGAGTCAACACCACTTCCCTGTTTGATTCTGATTGTTGTATAAAAGATGAAGTCCTCATGTAGTAAACTAAGTAAAAGGTTAAGGTCTTAATTATATCTTCACCAGAATGAGCATCAGTGCTGGAGGTATACCTTCTCCTAACTCAGCAATACTAGCCTCTGTAGACATGACGGATGATCCAGTGACGAAAGCTGTCATGGAGAACGTGTTGGGTCGACTCCCGACTAAGAAGCCTCGGGTGAGTTAACTGTACAGTACACTTGTGTTAAGGATGAGTGTTGCGACCTTCCATGTTTTATCATTACTACAGGCATGGGCAACCTTTCCTCAGTCAAGGGTTATATTATAATTTAGGTATTTTCTGTGGGCCAACTCATCAAAATTTATATCCTACCTAACCCAAAAGTAATGTTAATATCGTATTAGCATGGAGAGTGAAACAGTTTATCATCACATCGGGGGCGGATCCTGGAGTATCAAAAAGGGGGGGTCCAAGAAGTTGTGGGCGAGAGAACACGAGTACAATGATCCACCCAGCCGGGGGGGGGGGGCTGTAAGCTCCCCCTGGAAATTTTTTGAAATTTGACTAATATCATTGGCATTTTGAGGCCATTTTGAGACCATGTGCACTTGATATAAGAAGATATTCTGAGGTCAATAGTAATTACTTTATACTATACAAATGCCTGAGTGCAATACTGCATTAAAGTATTGGAATTTTTTATGAAAAAGGGGTTAGGTTCTCAAAATGGCCGTGAATCACCAAATCCGCGAATAACATTTGCGGACCCAGGGGAGCGGGGTACATTTTACTTGTGTACTAATAAATATATACGTATTCCCTTTATGTGTTTGCCCAGAGGACAATTATTTCTTTAACTGTAATAGTGTATATGTGTGTGTGTGTGTGGGAGAGAGAGAGAGACTTGCCCAACCTTAGTTAACTCCCAAGTGACCCATTGCCACATAACAATCCATCAAGCAGACCACACTGAACTTGGCCCATAAATTCACACAAGTAAAAATTTTTATAATGTTGACTATATATATATATATTTATTTCACTAACATTTTCCTAGTTACTTACTCTTAGGTGATGAAACAGTAATGAATTGTTTGTGAAGATTATTCTTTTAATAATTATTGCTTTACACACCATAAGCTGGCTGCATCTACCTGAACCACGGGCCACATTAAATAGAATTTTTCATCACACCACAGGCCATACAAAGACATGGTTTGGGCCACACACGGGCCACGGGTTGCCCATGCCTGCATTACTACACTTAAAAATAGCACCTGTGTGTTTCCAGACACTTGCACTCCAGGCAGATTTAGCCATCCTAGTACAGCATTTTCTCAATTTAATGAACTAATTCGAGCCACCCCTTTCTGTTAAATTGAAATTTCCGCTAAATCGAATTCCTGTTATTTTTGCTCAATTATGCTAACTATTTTTGCTAAATCGCGCTTGATTCCATTAAATTTCACGCCAAATGCGCTGCTTGGTGAGTGGGGTTTGTTTACATCTGCTCGGTCTGTGTCCTGCCGCCACCGCGTGTGTTGTTCACTGCTACCTGGACGGTACTGTTACTGAGTGGTACTGCACTGTACTGTCTGCTGCCTCGCGTCACTGGCCCACCCTCTGCTCCGACTGAGAGTCTACCCAGCTGCACCTCAACCCATCTCCTAGAATAAACAAAACATTGTTCTTTGTAGTATTATGCTAAAACAAACACTCATAAATCAACACGGCTAAAATTACGGGACACGAAATGGTCTGTGTACTAGCGATCGGCTGATGTGAGAGGCTGGTCGCGCTGGCGCCTACATTCCCAGCCTCTCGTCTGCCTCACTCCTACTTTTATCCTCTTCACCACTGATCGACACTCACTTTCCTCTCAACTTATTTTTATATTATTTATCCTATCAAAAATAGATTTTCACTCAACTTTAGTAAGGCAAGTCATCCTCTGAAGATGCAGAGCCCAACTCGACCAGCTCACCATCCACATCACTATCTAGTGGTGTGGCTGTGGACGCATCTTGACATGCAAGCACCATTTACACGCTGCAGTGCTTCCAGCACCTTGTTTTTGTGCTCCAGTGTAATTGCTTGCCTTGATTTCTTGGCCTTTGGGGTAGTTAATGATGTAGTAGCTGGCCTCTCGGACATAGTGGTGATGGTTGATGCGAGTGGTAGAAGGAGATAGCGTCACACAAAACGTTCGTTCATTAGAGCGTCAGTGTGAGAACTGAGGATGTGGGAGGGTGGCGGGCAGCCTTGTAGCGTGCGCAGTGAGGCGTCTGGCGAGAAACATTTGGCTCGAAACTTAATATTGTATAGTGTGTATTTCCATACGAAGTGCCAGATTTGACTCGAGTAAAATAGGAAAGATTCTTTTTAAATTGATACGGTGTCCTTAACTGTGGGTGTTGCTTTAAATCGCCGTTCTACTTCATCGGATTATGTTAAATCGAGAATTTTCTGTGCTGTAAAATGTTAACATAATTTGTACTATAAAATTTCATGACAGAGTTCAGTTAGTTGTAATTAGGAAGAATCTCAAGGATATTATGGTAGAGTCTCCATACATTGTTGAGATATGAAAATGATAACAAATGTTTTTTCTTTGTTTAATGATGAAATACTGTGTAGGACTTCTTTTGTCATTAAGATCAGTGGGTTAATAGTTAGAAGTTGCCAACACCTACTTATATATTGAGTCTTATAAAGGGAGAAAGATAAAAAACTAAAAACTATTTTCTGTATTCAATAATGTTTTTTGTCGGATTTTTTTTTTATTATTTATTTATTTTATTTTTTTAACTAATAAAATTACCCACAATATTAGTTGTCTAAAGTGGGCAGGGCTTTGAAGTAGAGGAAAAATGTGGGGTAAAATACAAAAAAGAAATTTTTTTTTTTTAAAACTTGACCTAACATTTCCTAACCTGTAAAAATTTTAAGAATCACTTAAGAGTTTATGGAACCCTCCTCATCTGAACACCAAAAGCAACACCATCACATACTAAAAGCCGAAAACAACACCATCACTTACTAAACACCAAAAACATTAATTTTAGAGGTTAGGAAATGTTAGGTCAGGTTTTCAAAAGTTTGTTTAGTGTTTTTTTTTTTTTTAGTATTTTACCCCACATTTTTCTTATACTTCAATGCCTTGCCCACTTTAAACAAGTAATATTGTTGGTAATTTTATCAGTTAAAAATATTCAAAAAATATAAATTTCTGGCAGAAACACTAAAGAAGAAATTAGTTTTAGTTTTTTTAGTTTTCTCCGTGCATAACTAAGGCTCATTATATAAGTGGGTGTTGGCAAGTTTTGAATATTTACCGATCAATTTATTTTGTCCACCAGCCTTGACATCAAACGACAGTAATTTGCTGGTACAGTAGTGATTTATGTAAACATAGTTGTAGAATTTCAAGTCCTTCCGTTAAATTTTTCATACATTTGACCAGGCTAATCTGGTATTGTCCAAAAACCAGTTTTAACTGGCCTGAAATTTTCATTAAAGAATAATCATCCCTTATTAATGTAGTGTAGGAAATAAAAGAAACCTGTACAGACTATCTGTTATATGTTTTAATGTCTTCATTTAACTGTTAAGGTTAACTCACAGCTGTAAAACTGTACAACCTAACTGTTATCTTGAGTTTGTAAGATGACATCATCATTATAATCTCGGTTATATTTATCATCATCACACACACCTCCGTTGATCAGCATCACACACACCTCCGTTGATCAGCATCACACACACCTCCGTTGATCAGCATCACACACACACCTCAATTGATCAGCATCACACACACACACACACACCTCCATTGTAGCATTACCTATAAACACTTTATATTGCCATTTCTGTACTTTGTAAAAATTTCACTTGGCCATAAAAGGAAATATGATGTGATATCAACTGTGATAAGTTAACACTGAAGACAAATATTTCATCATTGCAATTGTACCTTATGTAAGATATTTTATGCTTTCTTGAAGTGAGACACATTAATATCATCTTTATACAGGAAGATTGGAAAGACCCTGTGCACCTACTATAGTTATATACTTAGTACAGTAGTTGTTCCTTGTTAAACTTGTACAGTGAACCCTCACTTTACGCGGTTAATTCAACCCACAGGGTACTGCGGAAAGTGAGAAACGCGTAAAGTGAATAACATAACATATGGGATTAATTGAAATAGAGACCAGCTGACCCCCAAACTCCACTTTTTCCGACACAATACCTATGTTCTAGTAAAAATAACATCTTAATTTTATGATGGTACATGCACACAATTAATACTTAAGAGAAATAGAGAAATACAGTCGCCAAGTTAATGTCCATTCAAATAATGGACTCAACTCCCTCCCCCTCTTCTCACACTACACTCACTGGCTCTTCCCTCTCTGAGAAATTTTTGGGGGAAAACCACTAGATTTTAAGGTATAGTAATAAATAATACCTCAAACTAAAGTTAGGATAATATAATTGACATTGCTGGATTCCTTGTAAGACCAGGAATATTTTGAATATAAATGTCATATATTTTGCACAAAAGATAACATATTTATTCAGAGTAAACATTATATCTAAAATTTGTATGTCTAATGCAAAATCTATGATGTTTATATTCAAAATGATCATCAAATTGTAAGAATTCCAGCAATGTAAATTATATTCTGGCCGGGTAATTTGTATGAATTTTATGAGCTAAAACAAATATCTTCAGTTAATAAAAAAAAAAATATTCTTCACACCGTGCCAGATGGTCAGACGGTCCCTCCCTCCCTCCCCACCCCTCACCCCCCACCAACCCTCCCTACCAGATAAATGTGTGGGAAAACCAGACTATTTATCGTCTTAGTAATAAATAATACATCAGACTAAAGTTAGGGTAATATAATTGACATTGCTGGATTCCTTGTAAGACCAGGAATATTTTGAATATAAATGTCATATATTTTGCACAAAAGATAACATATTTACTCAGAGTAATCATTATATCTAAAATTTGTATGTCTAATGCAAAATCTATGATGTTTATATTCAAAATGATCATCATTGTAAGAATTCCAGCAATGTAAATTATATTCTGGCCAGATAATTTGTATGAATTTTATGAGCTAAATAAAAAAATTATACTTCACCCGCGTAAAGGGGTACATGCACCGCGGAATGTGAGCATCCTGGGTTCTGGCAGGGCACCGCGTAAACGTGGAAACGCGGAATGTGGGACCGCGTAAAGTGAGGGTTGACTGTACTGTATTGTAATTTACAGTAAGGTCTCAGAGTATATGTATCCATAGTGTGTGTGTGTGTGACCCCACTTATATGCGTCTGACTCCCTTAAGCTTGGGTCACTCCTCTGTTGCACGAGTCAACCCATCCAGCATCTTTTGCTAGCTCAGCATATTAATCATTTGTCTGTGCTCGTTTGAGAAAACAAAAATCAATCCAATACTCTAATGTGGCTTATAAATAAAGAAAATGTAATATAAATCTATAAAATGAAAAAAAAAATGAGAATGGGTATGTAATGTGTATGTGTGGATAGTGAACATTATGTGTGGAGGCAGTGAGCTGTAACTGCCTAACTGACTCACCATTCCAGCCGTACTTCCTCCCCCCCCCCCTCCCCAATATGAGTCAGCTGGGTGACTGCGTGACTGAACTGTGTCACGTCACTATTCTTGTACATAAAATAATATATGCTGTACCAGTAAATCATAAAAAGGTATAAATGAAGCGTGCATATTATTTAAATAATGCATAAATCAAACTCGTGTAAAGTGCGTGGTGACTGTATTATTTAAACTAACATGAAATATAAACTGATTAATTATTGTTTGGAGGAATATTTTATGAAACTTACAGTCATTTTGTCAAGGTAGTAATATTTACATTATTTGTCTTAACTGGCATTTTACTTATGCCAGAAGAGTGGTCTAACATGTCCTTAATATTAATATAATGATATATTCACAGTACGAAGAAGGTCATGATGAAATTGGAACCAGTACATGAGGCATTTTATAGTTCTTTTTTCCAACCTTTATCATTACATCTCTTATACTGTACTGTACTCTGTCAGGTGACTGTTCGGTGTGATGTTTGCAATTTGGAGTTTTCATCCCAGACGGTCTTAGACTCTCATATGGCTGGTTCCAAGCATCAACGTAAGGTAAGCTGGGTGTTTCATGTATACACCTTTTTCCATTTCTGCCGTGGTGATATCATACTGGTACTGTACACACCATGTAGTTTGTCGAGAATATTTTGTCTGTATCCATGAAGTCCTTTTATGTAGTTAAGTTGAGATGTATAAGAATTATCTTTAAACACTAGAGAATTACACTTCATAGATTTTTTATTTATGCAGGACAGCCAACATCAAGAGCAAACCCAGATTCTCTTTATTAATTCTTACAGCTGAAGTAGATGTATTCTACTTTAGTACAGTATTCTCCTTTCACCTCAAAGCCTCATATACATTATCTCAGTGGTTTATCTCTCTGACTTCACCTACATATCTAAATACTTCAGGATGGTAGGCCCTCCCGTCCTCTACATGTCTCTCTGCTTATTGGGTGTCCAACCTTATCACTTTTAATGTGTCTTCTACAGTCTACACTATCCTTTCCTCTGATTCTTGGTCTTGGCCCTCAGCTGGAGTAAGGTGTCCAGGTTGGTGCTCCATAACAAACTGCTGATCTTCCCTGATGGTGTATGTGTTAGAGTCGAATGATTCGACCACAGGGTTTGAGTACTGTACCTCACTCTGAACCACCGAAACACCAAACTGCAATTTCAAACATGGGACATAGGCAATGCATGTCTGTTGGAGGAAATAAATTTTTAACTAAAATGCAATATATTCAATTTTTGACAATACAGCTAGACCCCGACTTACGACGGGGTTAGGGACCCAAATCCAGGTCGTAAGTCCGAATGGTCATAAGTCCGACATAAAAAAAAATTAATAAATAAAAAAAAAAAAAATCTACAATGAAATACAGTACAGTAAAAGTAATAAATAATGAGGAATGGATACAGTACAGTGAAAGTAATAAATAATGAGGAATGGATACAGTGTGACTGAGCACTTACCTTTAATGTAGTCAGCTGAATGCACATGGGGCCCCCATAATTTTCTAATTATACATGGAGACTACATTAACTGGAAACGTTTCGGTATAGAAAATGCGTGTGTCATTTGGGGGAAAAAAATTGAAAAAAAAATGGTCACAACTTCGGCGGTCGTAAGTCCCGATGGTCGTAAGTCGAAGCAGTCGTAAGTCGGGGTCTAGCTGTATTAACCAAAATTCCTTACATACAGTGAACCTTCCATTTATTAATATCTTGTTTCTGTCAAATTAGCCAGATAACCATTACAGAGTGTCTTTATACGTCCATGTCACTCACCTTGTATTTCATTCTGACCAGCCTGACATAGTGTAACAACCTCCATGATTTTATTGTTCATGGCTTCCACATTACCACCTGTCTCATAGTATACAGGGACACCATGTTGCCCCACAGTCTCCTCCATCTCTCTATCACCAGCCATTTTATTTAAATCTCCCACCGTTTTGAGTAAATCTTGCATACAAGCTTTCAGTGTACCATATATTGTGGCCTGTAAGTCGACCTGGCATATAAGAGAAACTTAATTATTTCAACAGAAATTGTTGATCTCGGCTTATACCTGGCAGTTAAGTCTTCCCCCTAAACTGCAATTTGAAAGCTATGTCCTCGGTGTTGGCTAAACTTGCCATTATTTACATTTTAACAGCACTCAAACAAGTTTTACCTAATTGTAGCATTTTCAAAACGCTAAAATACCTTTCAAAGTTAACTACGGTTTTCTTACACACAAGCATTACTAGGGCACACAAGTGTGGTGCAAACAAATCACAACAATACAGTTCCTACAAAAGTAAAAATATTTAAGATACACTGTACACTTGGTGAGTAATGACAATTTACTAGTACTGATAGTTTATTAGTAGTATAGCCTTCTCCCCACTAATTAAATATATATCATATTTGTATCACTTATGTTATTTATCAATCAAGTGACCCATTCCCCAATTATGTAACTGTATATTTTCAGCCTTCCGGCTACCATGCTCTTTCAATAAACTGTTAATAATTATTATTATTATTATTATTAAAATGCATATAAATGAATTTACCTGTAGTTATATTTATTTAGTACATTTTATTTTTCCCAGGTTAAATCTGCAGAATTACTGAAGACTTTAGAGGAAACTGAGACGGGATTTGAACGTGACGAGGTCAGTGGAGTGATCCGATGCATTGTGTGTGATGTAACAGTTAATTCACCCCAGTTATTAGCGACGCATATAGCAGGAAACAAACACAAACAACGTGCAGCGAAGCGCGCCGGTCAAGGCTCTAGCGACCCTCCACCTAAGAGACTGTGCACGACAGGGTCAGGTAAGTGGCCCGGCATACTTTCTCACACGTCATTTATCATTTCTAAATTAATACTGTAACCATATGTATATTGCTTCTTTCTTCAGGTAAATTGATTTATGAAATTGATACTATAGCTACAGTTCTCAAGAAAAAACTGTTTTCAGTTACCTTTAAATGATGGACAAACCACAAACATGATATTTATTCAATTAGCATATTTGAAGACTTAATGATTGCTCATTGTGTGGCTGTGTAGGTCTGCCTGCTACTGACCAATATGCTTATATTAAACTATTGATGATAATAAAGTTCTCTTATTGGTAGACTGAAATGATAGGTTGAGCAATTATTGAGTTACATATGCATGTGATAGGTGAAGACTGTACTGTATCTAACTTTATATAAATCTTTACTTTTTATGCTATTTTATGTATGGGTTTATTGGGGTTGATAAAACCTAACAAGAAACACAAGTATTGTTAAGTGTGACATTGACTAACACATTAACTTGAATGTTTTATATTTATTAGCTTTGCATATATGTCACTTGAGATTTATGCCTCCACTTATTATTTTGCCTGGAAGTTACTGCCAAAACCCTCTTCTCAGCACAGCTTGGTTGATGATGTTGAATCTATGCAGAAATGATTTTGAATGGTGAACTTTTCAGAATTGTTGTCTGAGGCAGCATGTTAACATTAATGTCTACTCTTACTAAAAACTGAAGCAACCTTTTAATGATCTCTTCTGCCATATCACTGGGTTTATTTTTAAGTAATATTTATTTACACTATTCCTTGTGATTTGTATTTTTGACCTAGTATGGTGTCTGAACATGACAACTTATTACACAAGTGGTAAAAAAATGCCACTTTTTCCTCACACAACTTTAATTCTGTGAATGATATTATTAAACTTGACCGAATAATCCTTAGATGGTCATTCCTGTGTAATTCTTGGATTTAAGACCAAATGATATTTAAGTACAAGTTTTTACCCCAAAATATTTATATTTTGATAATGTTCTTGGACATGATGCTTTGTGTTTTATGGCCTCTGGGTTATTCATCAAGTGGCATGAGGTTTTTTTTCTGAGCACCACTTCTTAGAGCTGCATTTTCCTGGGAACTGTGGCAGTGACATTGTCATATGAGGATCAGTGATATTGATGCCTAACAGCTGTTTAACCAGTCATATCAGCAGTAGTAAGGTCAGTGACCTCAGCCATGACCCAGTGGGTTTTTTGAAGAACATGCTAACTGATAGCAACATTGGAATGACTTTTGCTGGATCACCTGGTTTGAATCCCCCAGACTCGCTTAGAATGGTAGTTAGACTCAATGATCATCATAGTTTTAATGTCATTTTCCATGCTTGTATGACTGGTGGCAGCTCTCCATGCTGTGCAGTCTCTTGCAGCCCCTTTCATCATATTCTTAACTCCTGAGGTCATTTCTTACAACCTCTCAACGTGTTAATCTTGGCATTCTCCTTGCTCTCCTCCCCTCCACATGCAGACTGATGCACCTCTTAACCAGCTAGTCTCCTCCATTCTCCTCACATGCTCAAACCACCTCAGCCTACCTCTGTGCAAAAGCTCACTAATACTCTCAGTACCCAGCTGCCCCTTTAGCTATGAACAGGGTTTCCCATCTGTCAGTGTCACCACACATCCACCTCACCATTCTCATTTCAGTTTGCTCAAGCCCATGTATGTCATCGCCCCCAAATCAGCTCATGCTTGGATGACACGCAGCACCACACCAGTTGCATATACCCTCCCTTTACATTAAGGGAAGGTCCCCTGGCTGTCAATAAATATAGCAACTCCCTAAAACTTTATCTAGCCACCTTTGACTCTTGCAGCTGAGTTAGCTTCAACACAAGAGGGCTCAGGCTTTCACTTGGCTCAGCCATTTCAATATTGTTCTTATTGTCGACTGTGTATCTGTAATTACTGGCTAAATAAACTGTTTCAGTTAATCGATCAATAAAACCTCCAGCACCTCCTTGCAGGTAGGAACTCATAGACACAGTCCAGGGACATATCCCCAATATTAAGCTTCTCCAGCCCTGCCAAGGCCACATGACCACTGAACACCTAAAGTTACCAACACCCTGCAGTCTGCTATTTAGATCCCTGCACCTCCTATGTACTTACCTTCTACACTCACTGCATATCATTGAGCCACTGCCAACACACTTCCCACAGACAGCGCATAGACACTTTCTGCCCTATACCACGAGTCCCTCTCTCACATCACCAGTGAACACTCCTGCCTTTGCTACATGCACTCTGAAGCCCCTTTGACTCCTTTCCATCCCTCCATCTCCCAAATTTCTCCACTGCCTCTTCGATACTACCCACTGTCATAACAAATTCATCATACAACAACTCTCAGTACCAGGGATTATCACCACCCACCACTGCCCTGCCCTGTTCACCACCCATCTATGCCCTGCCCTGTTCACTACCTACCATTGCCCTGCCCTGTTCACCACCCACCACTGCCCTGCCCTGTTCACCACCCACCACTGCCCTGCCCTGTTCACCACCCACCACTGTCCTGCCCTGTTCACCACTCACCACTGCCCTGCCCTGTTCACCACCCATCACTGCCCTGCCCTGTTCACCACCCATCACTGCCCTGCCCTGTTCACCACCCACCACTGTCCTGCCTTGTTCACTACCCTTTATGTATTGACCTCATGTTTGGCCAGTGGTATTAACACCAATCTTTGTTATGTGTTCAGATTTGTGAGGTTTTCACTTTTGTTGCCAACAAAATGTATTTCTTCCAACTTATATCAGCCTTTATGCCTGTGGGAAGAGATCATTTATTATTCTTCCTTGTGAATAATTCAGACTAGTACATCCTTGAGTTCATCCTCATGTGTGCGGTTTTGGCTACTTAGTTGGTCCTCATGAAGTGTGATCTCCTCCCTCTCTTTGCTAGTTTGGAATCTCTCAAGTCATTTGATGAATGACCAGTTGACTATAAAACTAAGGAATGAAGTGAAAAATTCCATTTTATAGTCAAAAGAAAAAGTCATGTGACTTTGAATCCCTCCCTTCTCCTTTCTTGTGTTATCCTATTAATAGGAGATGTGAAGATTAACCTACAGAGGCAAAAGTTTATGGCTTGAGATTTCAAGTCATAGGATACGGCAAAGGGTTCATCCAGATAACACTATTGGCTTGTATGTTTTTTAGAACATCATCAAGTTCTACCTTGGTGTTTATTGGGCAAGTAACTGTTACACAGAGATGTTGTTACAGCCTCTGAGCCATGGCCCCCTGGACAAGACAGCTGTGCAGGAGAGAATCTCAGTCACTTGATCCTTCCCATTGGCCATAAAGTGGGATTTCTGTGTTAAATTTTTTTTTATTATTATTTATAAAAATTTAGTTTACTTGAAAAGTCAAGGTATTGAAGATACAGCCCTCTAACCCCAGTCTCGCTTAATCCGGATCCCCTTGCAAACCAGATTGGGGTCCAGCACCAGACACTTGTATCCTCAACCCGGGAGAAAAAACTAAATACAGTTAGTATGAGGGAAAGTTCATGTAATTGGGAGCTGGCACTGTGGTGGCACAGGAGGGTAACGCAACAGCTACCTCTGAGGAAACAGTAGAAGTGTCTTAAGAAATATGAATAGTGCACAGTACAAATAGTCAGAGAAATTAGCAGAGAAAACATAACCTCTTTTCCACCTTCGGTGGCATACACTGTGAATGTTGTACAATCACCTACCTCAACTGACTCATGATAATTTAGTAATTAATAAGTACCGTCCAGTACTTTATTATTAACATGTACTACATGCATATACATCACTGGAGGTGCACATGATCTATGTACAGTATATGCTGATAACCACATAGGAAAAAAGAAATCATGAAGTTCCTAAGCACTTTCATGTAATTCACATCCAAGACAGCACACACAGCTGCCAGACATATGAGAGCGCCCGGCAACACCAGCTGATGGGTGACTTGCTGAGTACAGCTGTACTGAAAGCAAGCACTAAGCTGCTGAGAGTGTATGAGAGACCCATGAAGAATTAACTTTTTTCCACATGTTGAAACCTTAAGCGGCTGAAAAATGTTAATGTGGCATATAAAATCCCCGAGGGTGTTAAGTGTCCGCCAAAATTACAGTAGGTTCGGTGTCCTTAAGTAGCTTGAGCCGGAAATCCCCCATCCTCTGGAATTATCCACCTTGCAATGCACTATAGACAATACGGACCCCCACCCAACCTGAAATTTCGGCCAAATCAGACAGGCCTTTCCCCTAATTAATCTGGATTAAAGGAAGTTTACTGTACACTTAAAAATTCCCGCTCAGTTTCAGACTAGGTTACTATGACATGCTTTGTTGATATTTCTAGTTGCATAATCACTTAATTTAAAATAGAAAAACCGTGCATGCAATTACAGCAATATGCTAAATAATCATTTATGAGTAGTACAGTATATCACCATTACCCATAAAAGTAGTGTGTATATTTTTCAGCAAGAATTGAGGGAATTTGTTTTGTTGGGTCACACTTACAAGTTAGTTTGAGTAACCAATACAGTTTACCTCAGTGGTTGACACGGCCCATGATGGTGTTAAATGTTCTTCTTGGATAAGGAGGTTGTGTTTTGGGGGAGTTTTATTGATTATCTATATTTCTCCTTTCTTCCTCTTTTCCCATCTGCTGATATGATTGAATAATCAAGCATGATAATCGGTCAGGACCCTTGGGTGAGCTGAAACAAGACCGATTCATCATTGCCGCTGTTCTGATTATCAATCATCTTCACTGTAGGGGTCACAGGCCAGGATGCTACGGGCTGTTCCACTATCAGTAGCAGCAACGGTGGGACGCAGGATCCACCACCATCTGGGTCAAATGACTCTCAGGGAGTACGAAGTTCTGGAACGAGCTCCAACCTAGAGATCCCTGAGTGCGTCACCAAGTTAGAGGACACAAAAGGTGGTGGAAAATACCTTTGCAACCCCTGCCAGGCTCACTGTAATTCAGAGCAGCAGCTAGCTCAGGTAAGCAAACTCAACTTTATACATAAGTGTACAAGAAATGATCTCCAGATATTTAAGTTTTCACTCACTTTACCTGTGGTATTGTGGTCTACATACTGGTTTCACTCACAAGCAAGTGGCTCCAGGTTTGATTCCTGAGCAGGATGAAACTGTTGGCATTTTTTTTTTTTTTTTTCATTTGTTTATTTATTTATTTTATATTTTTTTGTCTACCCAACAATGCACTTTTAAATGCAGATACCGATAGTAATCGAGAATAGTGTTTGCACTAGCTCAATAAAATACTGTACCCTGGTATAAGTAAATAACATAGAACTATGAGTTTAAGTTACATCTCATAGCCTCGTACCATTATGGTCAACCTTGTAACTAACCTTGCAAGCATGCACTATACTATTTCCATGCTAACCTGACCCGTAAGCCACACCCCTTGTCTATATACAGCTCCTCCCCGACTTACGACGGGGTTTGGGACCCAAATCCAGGTCATAAGTCGAAAATGCTTAAATAATACATAGAAAATCTAAAATGGGTGTCTCTTTTTCTTCTCAGCACCACAAAACTCTCAATTTTAAGCTTGCCAGCCATATTAAAGTGAATTACAAACGAAAATTTTGTCAGTACACAGCGCAATCACTGACGTTTGGAATCGAAAATACGTAATTTGCCACATTTTTGGTACGACTGAGGCGATCGTATGTCCGGGTGGTCGTAAGTCGAGTATGTTGTAAGAGAATATCAAGTCTGCTTACCAATTGTAAACGCATTTAGTTTGAGTAAATGAACAGCTACTCAAACATTTTCTATGAACCAATCAGCTATTTGTATATATAAACAAGGGGCATGGCTTATGGGTCAGGTTAGCATGGAAATAGTATACAGTCAGTTCTGCTATAACACGATAGTTGTGTTCTTGTAAAACCTCGCGTTCTAGAAATTCGCGTAATAGAAATAACAGGGCTTATGGAGAAAATAGGGTTAGGTGCAGATTACTCGAAACCGAAAAAAATTTCGTAGTTAGCCTAACACAAAGGATAGCACAGTCTAAATAAATGTTACATTCATATCTAATAATGAAATCATACAGTAAATGTTACACTTTACCTTGAAAAAATATGAATATAACTTGATGGGGGAGAAGGTTAATGTTGAGGTTGAGGAGTCATGCAGACAGGATTTGACAGTTGTCATCATCAGTATCAGGTGCAGTTTTGGTTGCATGGGAGGGACGAAAAAAAAGTCTAATTCCAGAAGTGGATGGCTGTGGTTCAGTGTCTTCAGTCTGCTTCTTGGGGGTTAACTTAAAAAAGACGTCTATTGTTTGCTGCTTTGCCGTCTTTCTTCTTTCACAAAAAAGCTGTTCATAAGGTGCCAAAAAAGATTTGACACCACAAACTGCAATCCTGCTCCTTTCTGCATTGTAGTCATTGTCCTCCAAGATCTGCAACTGCTTATCAACTTCCCTCAGGATAGAAGACAAAGCAGAAGTGGGAAGCTCTCGTGGCTTTGCATCCTTGACTTCATCATCTTCGGCATCTTCTATTTCCCCAGCAGCAACAAGTTGTTGTAGATCAGCTGTAGAGAGGTCTTCACAGTGGGACTTGAGCAGTTCCTCAACATCAGCACTTTCCACTTTAGCAAAGCCAACTTGCTTTGCAAGAGAAACACAATTTTCTTTTATTTTGGGGAGCTCCTCTGATGCACCAAAGACTGTAAAATCATGAATTAAATCTGGGAGAAGCTTCCGCCAAACTCAACTCAAGCAGTCCTTACTTACATCACCCCAGGCCTCCACAATGATGTCAATTGCATGCTTGATGTTGAAACTTTTCCAAAACTAAAGAACACTGGCCTTATCATTTCCTTTCTCAGTAGCTGCAATAAGTTTCTTAAATGTACGCCTCAAATAATAGGCAATTTTTATGTTCATATAATCATTTAGGTTGTTCATTAAAAGACTTTATTATCATTTGTGATGAATATTGACCAGTTCTGATTTTTGGCAGCATTTATCATCAAGGAAGCACCAGGATAAATTGAGTGGACGTAAACCACAAGGCGGAGGGTGGAGGGCTAGGCGGCGCCCTTCATTCCGTGGTGGACGAACCGGACACCCACGATCCCACACCTACACTCAACCCCTATCATCCAACTTTGTTGCAGGTGGTGCTCTCCTGTGAGGGCATAGGAAGTCTTGAATAGTCTTAGGGCTATAGGCTAGGAACTGTTACAGTTCAGGCAGGTACAATTCCAGTGTTAATTTCTTAACTTTTCAGCCTTTTGCAAGTTACAGCTACAGTTTATTTAAAAAATTATTATTACTTGTTCATTTTCAAGTATAGTATGCTGTGCCATTTGTTGAAGTGTTTGCAGTTCTTTAAATTTAGGCATCTGTTGTATGATAATCATGTCTAGCTAGTCAAAATGCTCAGTAAATATATTATATTTACAAATTGTCTTGGATATCATTGATTTAAAAAATTTATTACTACAGTATATACATTTGACACAGTTTTATGTTCTTTTCTGTGCAATTTCACTTTTCAAAGTCTGCTTTTATATAATCCATTCAGGATCCCGTCCCAGTTAAGAGTTTTTGAAAGTCATAAACAAATAGAAGTTTAACATTTGAGTAGTCTTCAACGTGAGCTTATTAGGCACTGGACTTACACCTGCCTTGGGCTTTCCGATCATAGGATATGGATGTTAGAAGTATGTAAGTGATCTGAATCTTTTAGGCTAGTCAACTGAGTACTAACCTCAATCAGTTGACTAGTGAGGACTTTCTTGCCAGTACGGATAGGAGGTTCATTTGTATTTTTCCTTATTCATCGCTGTTTCACACGGTGTTAATCCCACTCATCACAGTGCAGTAAAGTTACTCAAATTACTTTATTTTTTGGGGGGGTGGGGGGAACTTACGAGTTTCCATTATATTTTTTTAACTGAGGCTACACTTAATAGTCTACATAAAAGTTGCATTTTCTTCATGGAGTCAAAAGTGGTTTTATGCTTTTGATGTGAATCTAATGAGAAAAAAAGTTGTATAAAAGAATTTTAGTTTTAAGATAAATAATAACAAACTATGATTGTAAAATGGATAGCTGCCTCAAAGCATGATAAAAAGTGATAAGGAGCAGCATATTGAGTACTGGGGTGTAATGAAACATGTATCACATTGTATATTACAGCAGCCACTTCAATTACATGATTTACTTTTCTCAGTCTTTACATTCCACATGAATTTGAAGAATTTAACAAACTTCATTGAAACCAAGAGAAAATTTTAATTTACAGTAATGAATTTTGTCTTAAATGTCATGCTTTTTCATATGATATAAAAAGTTTTATTGTTCTAATAAACTATGAGTGCCATTATACCCAGTGGACTTTAGTGCCACAGTTTGAGTAGCAGTATAATGTTGTTTGCCATTGTGGACTTTAACACACAGGTACAGTAATGTTACAAACACCAGGAGCCATCCCTATCCAGGTTGTAAAGCATGTTGGTCATGCTACTTATGCCCAGGTACATAAGAGAAGTAACACCACTCCCAAAGGCTCTGTAGTAAAAAAAAACCAGTTTTGTTGAAGTTTTCTTGTGGTATAAAATAACAGCATTGGCATAAGAAAAAATTTATATTTCTTGTTTTAATGCAATTAGAGCCACTGGCACTGAATAAATAATGGAAATTAATCACTATTCAGCCACTTGTTCAGCGTGCTGATTGACTAACCCATGGACACGTCATTTGACTCCGCCCCATTAGTCATCATCTTCAACAATGAAAGTGTGAATCTAAAAGTGATCAATATAATTTTTAGCAATGGTAGTTTTTGTAGCTTCATGCAGGATTCACTGTAAGAATAAGAAAAAGTTTGTCTTTTCATAGATTTCTATGAAGTGCTCAGCTTATAAAAAAAAAAATAAAAGCATGTAAAAGAAGTGATCATTGGAGCTTTATTTATTTAAATTTTATTGTAGAACACGAACATTTCTTAGATTGAAATACGTAAAAAAAGAATATGTGAATACACAAGTAAATTACAGAAATATTCAAAAGAAGCAATGGGCGGCTTTGAAAGTGTTCTAATTAAAAACAAAAACAGGAACATAACAGATGAGGCTACAACAAGAAGAGTGAGAGTTTGTGTATTATTGACTACCAAATGTATTGTTGCAGTAATCCGTCAGCCTCGCATAGTCCAAGTGCAATGTACTGCTTGTTATATTTATCAAAAAACTTTCACTAATACTCCTTTAGACATACTGTTGCTGATGAGAGACCAAGTATAAACCTAAGCAAAGGACCCTACTGAAAATTAGAACCCGACAGATATGTCGGCTATCCTTGGCCAAGTTGCCTTAACGTTTACCTTTGTTGTTCACCTGCACTGTGTAGTACTAGGTACATGGGAAACTATGTATACACCCATGGCCTATGTACACCTTATACCTGCACCATCAGTATTCATACTGAACTGTATAACTGCATAGTCTATATGCCAAGCTAATTGTAAATGATACTTTTACTTAATATTATTTATTATCATTATTATTAATGCCTTTAGATTTTTGTATTGACTTTTTTCTACTGAGCTAATTCCTGAATTTTACATTATTTAAGTACAGTACTTTATACTTTGCTTACAATGGAATCTTGACTTTCCATTGTTGGAAAAAATACCCACAAATTTGATTGTTTTCATATGTACTGTATATATAATAGATTTTGTAAAGTATTTTTTGTATATTTCATAATGTACATGCTATTGTATATTACATAAGAAAAAAGTCTAATTTATTCAATTTTTTCTTTAAGTTTGAATAAAATAAATGACCCCTTAACATTCTTTAGGTATTCTGGAACCTAGAAAGTTATCACAATATATATATTGTATATTTTGTTAAAGTATTTTTATTTTATTTTATAATATATATTGTATATTATATATTTATGAAAAAAGTCCAATTTATTACGTTTCTTTCCGTAAATTTGAATTTGAAAAACGATATCTTAACAATCCTTAAGTATTCTGGATGCCATATGACTAACGGGGTGAAGTCAAGTAAAAAAAAAAAGTTGCCAGCTAGGATTTTCACCGAGCCCACATGGTGCTACCTCTCCCATGTACCTCGACTTATGCCATACAGCTGAAAGATTATTCCCAGTTAAGGAGTGATGATGTTTCTCTTATAGTGGGTAATTTATATAGTGCAGTGTAGCAGTTATCTACTCTTATAATGCAGAAAGATTTGTACAGTAGCATCATTGATGTTGTAAGGCAGGAAAAGATATTAGCACTGATGCTGTACTGTGTGTATTTTATTCTTTCATGTGTGGTAGGAGCCTCACTAACCCACTCACAAGTAGCACAAATAATTCATAGTTTTTTCGCCGAGCATTTAAAAAGCTGACCTGTAGCAGTGCAATAATTGAAACCTTGTTCATACCTACACTTTCAAATTATTTTATTTTCATTGATCAGCTAGTTTCCTTGAAGTCTTACCTTAACACCCTCCTTTCAGTACTTCTCTCATAACTTAGTAGTTAAGGTCATAGCTGAGAGAAACATTTGCCACATTGTAATTACTGTATACAGTAATGTTATTCGTGGAGTTTGCTGACACACAGTGACATTTTGTTTCAGAGCTCATGGGTTTTGAGTCGTGCATTTTTAAAGAATTCATAAAGTCTCTCTGTGCATAAAGTGTAATAATGGTGTTTAGAGACATTTGATAGGTTGTTTACAGGTGCTTTTTATTATTATTATACATAAACCTTAATTTTCTCGCGTGTTCATCTCGAAATGTCTGAAACTTGCAGATCAAAATTTTTAGCTTTTATCAACCATTTTTTGCCTAGATAAGACCTTTATAAGTATTGATATCAAAACATAATGTCCAGGAGGATTTTGAGTCCTGGTTACCCAGATACAGTAATGTCTCCTTTAGCTGGAATCCCTCTTAACAGGAACTCTTTGATAGTTGGAATTTAATTTTTGCCAGAAAATCGTTCCCGAAGCCGGAATTTCCCGAAAAATTCCGACTTTGGGAACAATTTTCTGGAAAATTCCAAAAAATATTTCCCAGTGCCCGGAAAATTCAGGGGATGGGGAAGTTTTCCCAGGTTTGAGAGATGAAAATCAGGCGCATTTTCCGGAAATTCCAAGAACATTTTTTCTGTTACCCGCAAAATTCCAGGGATGAGGGATTTTCTTCCAGCTTTGAGAGATGATGTAATGCTCAATTTCTGGAACTTCTGAGAAAAATTTTCCATTACTTGGAAAAATCCAGGACCGAGAGATTTTTTCCAGCTTTAAGAAAATCATCTCGTGAGCCGAAAATCTCTTATTCCCGGAATTGCTCTGCACCAATTGTTCCGGCTAACAGAGATATTACTGAGTATATTGTGTCAGTTAAGTCTTTATAGTTGTGCTCAACAACCTTCACACATGACATAGCCTTTAATTATTTGTTTGTAATGTCACACTTTTTTATTTAATCTCTTCATAATCCTGGCATCTTGTGTACATGTAAAGTTTTAATGTAATACGGGCATTCGCTGATTTATATTGTGCCAAACAGTGCCGTTTCTATATAAATTCAATTAATAATTAGGGAACAAAATTGGATGTAAGTTGCTGCAGTCCGATATAGCGTCATTTTGAATCTTGCGCGCACCAGTGTGGTGCCTACTTCACCCACAAATTCCCAACATTATAAAAAAATAAATAAATATATGAAAATATCACCACCATGGTTGGAAAACATCCTGCAAACAGTCCTGCTGGTACTGTACCCAAGAATCCAATCTTTCCATCAGTTTACACATGAAAATTCAGGAAATGTGGAGTCCGGAGAGAGAGAGAAAGAGAGAGAGAGAGTGAGTGAGTGAGGCTGGGGATGGGACAGCGCCTGGGAAGAAAGAGGCAAAGGAGGGACTGGCTATGGAGGAGAGTGATCTTGACAGTGACGTCACAGAGGAAAGCAATGTGCCTTTAGACATAATTGGTTAGTGTAAATTTGTTAGTCTTATTGTTTTAATTATTTACATGATGTTTTTTAAAGATAAGTAGAGAAAGAATACTTATGTGGTGCGGTTCGTGATGTGGCGATTGGGTGGCTGCTCACGAGTGATGTCACAGCTTCAGTCAGCTGGGAGGTCCCTTGCCCATTATTCAGGATGATCAGCATTTAGTGATATTTTTTATTATTTGTTTCATAAATGTGTATTTACAGATATAATTTACTTTTAACGTGTACAGACTTCAGTATGCTGTTATAACACAAAGTTAGTACAGCAGTCTGCTCTGGTTCGTACATACTGTAATGTGAGGCTCTGCTGTATGAAGTCAAGTGAAAAAGATAGGTTAGGATGACTGAAAACTACATTTATTTTAAACCTGCACAGTACTTTAATATGTTATATATCACTTTAACATGCCATGTAACTCTTTAACTTGGTAGTTTGTTTTGGTTCCTGCTAATTAGAGACTCCATTGTATGAAGTTTACTGAAAAGGTTAAGGTTAGGGTTACCAAAAATGTGCCCTGGAAATAATGGCACACTTTTTTGGAATGCATCTATGACGCTAATCAGCGACTTGCTGTACAAGATTCTCAAAGTGTTCTGAGGATACATTGCCCAGGCATTCTGCAGTAAATAAGAATGTCTTACACCAGCATTTAGGCTCCAGCTATCATTGTCCTGTATCATTGTCATCTGTTACTGCACTATTTTCTATATTTTTTTGTGTGTGTATAATGGTAGACCTAGTTAATGCCATCAGTGATAAGTGATATACTTGTAATATTGGCAGCTGCAATGATGACTACTTACCGGATCCAGTGAGGCAATTAGAGTACCTCAGTATACTGTGCACTAGTACACTCACATCAGAGGCAGACTCTCCTATCAAAACTTAGCATTGTTTGAAGTAAAGTTTAGAATCTACATTTCCTGCTGCTTCATGGCTGCTTTAATTATTATATTATATTTATTTTTTTATTATTGTCATCACCCTTCCTGTTGCAAAAAGAGAGAGAAAGATCTTTATTAAATGCCTTATGAGGTGTTTTTAAACTACTTGATCTTACTGTTAGTAGGAAATAAAATTGTATAGTATATTGTATATGTACCGAGTAATAAAGAAGAACACTAAGGAATCCACAACATCTTGAGTATAGAGTTGTTTAATGGTTTCAGTTCATGTCTGAGTTAGTACTTTACATAGCTTGATCTATGCTCAGAATATAGTAGAGTAGAGCCAATAATGGATAAACTTACAGGGACCTTACAAAACAAGAACGAAAAATACACTTTTTGCCTCCAATACCAAACATCACATTTTTGCCTGACAAAGTGAAGGGGTTAGCAATGTTGTCTTTTCACATGAGGGAGGCTTTGAATCATGCAAACCAATGGGTCACTTGAAGGTGAGTACCCCGGCTTGTTTCACCTGATGATCAACCACTTTACCCTATCTAATTTAATCTAGCCTAAGCTTACCCATCTAATTTAATTTAACCTAACCTTACTTTACCCCAGGATTTTTTCTGGTTTTGAAAGTGTCGTCTCATTATCTGAAAATATCTCATTCCTGGAAGTGCTCTGCACCAATTGTTCTGGCTAACGGAGATATCAAACAGACCACACTGAACTTGGCCCGTAAATTCACACAAGTTCAAATGTTTATATTGTTGACTATGTATACTTATTTCACTTACATTTTCATAGTTACTTTCTCTTAGGTGATGAAACAGTAATGAATTGTGTGTGAAGATTATTCTTTTAATAAATATTGCTTTACTCACCATAAGCTGGCTGCATCTACCTGAACCACGGGCCACATTAAATAGAATTTTTCAATCACTCTGAGGGCTGCACAAAGACATGATTCAGGCTGCATGCGGTCCACCAGCCACGTGTTGCCCATGCCTGCTTTACCTTATCTAATTTAATGTAACCTAACACTAATTTAATT